AGTAACATCTTCAGTGCTAGCGGGTGTGAGGTTTGCCCTCTGTTTATATACAGTTTCCCAGTTGAAAGGATGAGTCTTTCCATATGTTATGAGACTAAGGAGTTAGCAACGATGATGTTAACTAGTTGGGTAATGAAACATGTGCAAACAATCAATCAAGCTCAGAGAGAGCCAAGTTCAAACCTGAACTATATATATATATATAAGTATATATATATACTTATATGTAGGTCTTTGGTTATTCGGGTTTTCTCCTGCGTAAAATTGGAAGTGTCTTGGCGACGTTTCGATGAAGTCCAATTTGTCATCTTCAGGCTGGTGTTTTCAGCTTCATGCTTCAAGGAGCAATTAATTGGGGTATGCCATGATCCTTCTTATGGAGAGGTGGAGAATAAGAAGGATGATGGCACACCCCGATTAATAATGGTTGGCCTCAATGACGAGGGAAAGGGAGAGCCTCCCCCCTCGGCTCGTGTACAGCGGGGCGAGGGAGGAGGGAGACAATCAGCACATGAGGGGAAGGGAATCCCTTTCAGCCTCAGGACTAATGGGAAAAATACTTATGGCCGGATGAAGGAAATGGGACATAATGACATATGCAAAACATCTAAGGCACGGCACAACCAGCTGGGCCCGTTAACATGTTCTAGAAGCCGGATGCAGGCTATTAACATCTTATAAAAAGCGTATCCCCAGCGCCTGCCTTTGAGAACACTGAGGATGTTGGATGAATCCCAACGAAAGCTTGGTTATTAAAACTCTTTTATTATTTCTCTTGGTGATCGACTTATTTCTAGATTTTATTATATCTTCCCTCCCTGATATAGCTGACAAAGTAAGAAGGAGCCTGTGGCCTAGAGATAAATACAGCTGCCTAACATGCACACAGCCCAGGCTCGAATCTCAGAAGGGTAAGTGTGGCTGAAGAGAATTAAGAAACTCGAAATAGCTATCCCATTCTCCCTTAATTCTTTGTTAGCAATCCAAATTTTATAATATATATATATATATATATATATATATATATATATATATATATATATATATATATCCTCCTCTATTGTTATTTAGAATTATTCAGAATGGACAAATAATTTGCCTGGTTAGGAGGCAATATTAAGTTTGCTTTGACATTGTTTTGAGTTTAGTAAATATTTGGACCTTACCATGGAACATCCTGTTACTGGTTATCAAGCAGTACTATAATGTATGGGGATGAAAATGAAGAAGTGGTGCAGTGGAACATTTAAATATATACTGCTCAAAAAAATAAAGAGAACACAAACGTATAGGATCCTATACGTTTGTGTTCCCTTTATTTTTTTGAGCAGTATATATACCAGTAATGTTTCTTTAACTTTAGAGAGGAGGAGGATTGCACTTTCAGACTTCCAAGACTGATGTTAGCCCTGAGGGATACTATAAAGCTACAATGACAGAGTCTTGCAAGTCTGAAAGTACAATCCTACTCATCTCCTTTACAATCTGAGACACTAGGAAGGGTCTCTTCTAAGCTTCTTGCCCCATCCATTTATGCCAGTGTTTCTCAACCTTGACAATTTTAAGGCATGTGGACTTCAACTCCCAGAATTCCACAGCCAGCATTGCTGGCTGTGGAATTCTGGGAGTTGAAGTCCACATGCCTTAAAATTGTCAAGGTTGAGAAACACTGATTTATGCAGTTGCATGCTATCCCATCTCTTATCTGACTGTTGTCTTGGCAGCATCTCTTTGCCCAATGTGAAGATCTTTCCCACCTATCATTACACTGTTCACAAAAACCAAATATAATTAAACACTTATGTACATGCTTTTCATTAACAGCTACTTTGGCTGTAACGGGGCACTTAGCACTTTAATAATAGTAGGTCTGCCAAGACCAGGAAAGTAAAAACCAGCCAGCCATTACAAATTGTACTTGTTACTATGGAAGTTACTTTTTTAAAAAAACTAACAAATAATAGTTAATACCTCTGTGCTGTACCCAAGCACACACTTTAACTGTTATATTTTATCATGTTAATTAAAGAAAAAAACCCAGCAAAACATATCACACACTGCTCATATCACACACTTCATATATACTCAAGAGTATGAGACTCTGGCTTAAATATAAAATAAACTCCAACAGCCTGAGCAAAGATTTATGACCACCTAATGGCAACAGAGTTATTCATTTTACAGTGGATTCTGCACAAGAGCATTTAAAGACTGCACATACACCCCAAATGCCATACTAGTTAAACTAACACTGTATTTACACAATAAAAAAATAAATACAAGCTTTGGTTACAAAGCACTGCAGTGCACTCAGTTTATGACTGTGCAAAGCCATTGACAGAGCTGCTTTGCAGCTTGCTGAAATGATTGTTAAAGTAGCCATGTCATTTGCAAAGGTTATTTAGCAGCTTCAGAAGGTGGAGAAAAATGAGGAGTAACTCTCCAAATGATGCAGCTGCTTTCTATGATTCCAAAACAAACCTTTTAGGGGTTCCTGCATGTTGTCCCTTTCAAAGGCTTTGCATAGCCCTAGAGCCCATATATCTTTGCATGACCAGAATGAAGTACAATACACATTGGGTTTCAATTATCCAGGGATGGGCTTATCTGTAAGTATATATGGCAATACTTTTTAAAGGTACCCATATATCTCATATACACTCATGTATCAGTCAATCCACATCTTAGTTGATCCTTGAATTTTTAAGCAAAATACCATGAAAAATTAGTGCCAGTTTGGTCCAGTGGTTAAGGCTCCAGGCTAGAAAGCAGAAGACTTTGAGTTCTGGTCCTGCCTTAGGCATGAAAGCCAGTTGGATGACTTTGGGCCAGTCACTCTCTCTCTCAGTCCAGCCCACCTCACAGGGTTGTTGTTGTGGAGATAACAGGAGGAGGAAAGTGTTGGATATGTTTGACATCTTAAGTTATTTGTAAGAATAATAAAGGTGGAATATAAATAAATAAAAACAAATACAAAACTAACACAAAATATTGGTAGGTTGGTGGTTGCCACCTACCTTTCTGATGCTTAACTTCTGCTTTCTTCTCAGCCTTCTACTTTTACATTATCCTGACCAATCTAACCCCAAAGAAAGAGAGATATGACTGGTCCTACTTACTGCCTTGGCTAGATGGAGAAAGCCTGAGTAAAAACAGCCCAGGCACAAGTCACAAAACAGCCAATTGGATCAATCAGGTCTCACAAACCCAGAATTGCTCAAAATAGTCAAGATTTATTTCATTATATTTTGCTAGGTCTTGAGACAAAGGCCATGGTTTTTCAAAAGTTTAGATTTCAGAAGACCTGAGGTTCCGTTGGTTTGAGGCTGAAATATTATGTATATCTCTAAATTTTCCTCACTTTTTATCCTAAATTCCATTTTCATATCCACATCCATTTTTGTACATAATATTTTCCCCGAATTCACATATTTTTGTATGCATTTTCCTCTAATATATGCATTTTGACTCTTATCCCTATTACTTGCAATTTGATGTCTTGTGGTTTCCCTAATGTGGGTACATTAAGTGCATCTTATCTTGCTAAACAGAGGAGTATATTGCAAAGTTCTGAGAAGTGCAAACATGGATGGATACCTATTTTCGTTGAGTGAATTGCTTGCTGGAAGTACAAATTAGATTACTTATTAATTTTTAAAAACTCAAATAAAACAAAACCACGGCCAGTTTGGAAAATAAAGAGTGAAATCCAACATCGATAGATTTAATATTAACACCAGCTAAAATCTTAATTTTGCTGGAAAAGTCAGCTATAATGCAGAGCATATTGTCTAAAATAACACAAAAACTAACAAACGAATGAAAAAAAATCATCTGTGGTTGGAATCCAATGTCACCTTGCTGGACATCTGCAAACCCCACATTTTTCCTCCTCTTCTCTCCTGCCTTCTAACATAGAATTATTACTGGTGGGCTGGATCAATTAAAAGAGGGAGATCCTCTTTTTCAGAGACATGCATTTCTTTTATTAGACCAAACAAAAGCACAGTGTACAAATTTCCTTCTTAGCCTTTGATTATGCTCATCAGTTTCTTTACAGCTTGCCACATGCAAGCCCATTTTGCATTCCACTGAATCTATTTTAATTACCCTGCATATTAGCAAAACAATCCTTTCTGAATAGCATGACTTCAATTATTCTATTGCCTTTTAATTTATCACCAGGACACAAAGGGAGGAGCTTCATTTTCTCTCCAGGTCTTTTATCTGGGAATATTAGGAAGATGGAGAGCTTCCAGACATTTCTTTTAATCTGTAGTGATACTTCACATAATCTACTACATTACAATAACATTGATAAAAAATCAAAAGGTTTCATGGGCAATGTGTTCAAATCAGATTTCTACCCTCTTCCCCACCTCCTGCAGTGCCAATTTTCCTTCATTTGAGGGTATTCTCTCTTGTTAGGCCTCCTTGTAATCTAAAATGATAAAATAAAAAAGTTTACTGATCATCTACAATTTAGTTTGCCATCTTCCTTCATCACTGGCCCTATTTCCCTCTCTTGCATTGTTGTAGCTTCCACACAGCAAATAAATGCCTGAAGCAGGGAATCTGCTGTGTCAGGCTAAGCTTCCCCCAGTTTAGATCCTTGTTTGCCCAGATTTCAAAATCACATGAGGAAACTGGAGGCAGTCTGGGAAGCCTGAAGATACAGAAGTTAAACTTCCTGCTTTACTTCTTTCTTTGACACCTGTGGAACGCTGGACATAGATAGTTGATCCAGTGCAAAAAATGGGTCTGGAAGCTTCCATGTCATTCAAGATAAGTTCCTTTTTGTCCAGAGTAAGAGCCACTTTTTCAGGGCTTGTAAAAAAAAACCCAACAAAGCCACTCTTTGTTATACTGAGCTTTATGACTGAAAACATCTTCCACCATCTTGTGAAGAACCCCAAGAACCATTTTCCTTCGATTTTTTTTATCCATATTGAATTTTTTTAGAGGGGGAAGGGAGAGAAGAGGGAGGAGAGAAAATATACCTGAGTAAATTGCCAGTAAAGCTTCATCCTTTTGGCTTTGGCATAACTACATTCAATAAGTCTTGGCCTGCTGTTCACATCGACCAGGCATCTGTTGTCATCATCGTCAATGGTAGGACTAAGAACACCCACATGGATCTGTTGGTTACCTGTATAGTAGACATTCTGAAAGAAGAAAGCAGAAGATAGATCAGGTAGATATTACGCCAGAAACTGATGATAAAAGTTAATATGAGGTATCAGGGAATTAACATATCTGGATGGTTTCATCAATTCCTCATGTTTGTTTGTTGTAGTTTTGCACGCTATCTGTCCAGTTTGCAGTTTTAAGTTGGCATGAAAACTGTAGCCCATTATCAAGCTTTTATCTGCTAGTGATGAAACAAGGGGGCAGATGTCCTTGGTATTCTCGGAGCTTGCTTGTGGTTTTTTTGCAGATGTTTCATTTCCCAAACTAGGTAACATCATCAGTGCTAGTCCGAAACAGTGATGAAACAGTTTTTCTTAATATGCCTATATTTATAAGCAACTTTCCTGAAGATATTACTTTTATAATATTTTCTCTAACACAGGGATGTGTATACCATATGATTGAAGAAGTGGATCATTAATTTCATAAAGATATGAATACTGAAGCTACAACTGGATTTGACTTGAAAACATCATTTTTTCTCAGCAGGAAGAGGGGTAATATTTACAATCCATTTTTGGTACAATTTTCTGAGGAGCCATCAAAGAGCTGCCTCTTTTTCAAAGCAGGCAGATCTTTTATGCATTACTTATATTGTTCTTATTGTAGAGAATAAAGCAGTGATTATAAATGGAAGACAGTCTGGAGGGTTCATTTATAGAAGTGTCATTTTGATTAGGCTAACATAATTTGAGCATTTTACTCCCTGAACATCCAAGAAGAAAGGAGCACAATTGGGTTTGAGGAATTTGACACAAGACAAATTCTGATACCAGAACTGAAAGTCAATCATATAAAACAGGTTCTCTAATAATCCATGAAAAGGCAAACACAAAATCTGAATGTAACACAATGTCAAATCAAGAAGGAAGAAAATGTCCGAAAGAACTGAGGGATACATATATAGAAAATTTTGAAAACCATTCACCCATTTATCCTAGTGAGTAAGCCATAAATTATCAGTCTATAGTATTTTGATAAATGGAAGGAAAATATTAAATATGAAGCAAAAATGGAAAACCTGTTATATTTTACCTTCCCTAATTCTTTCCTGAGTAGATTGGGAAACATCCAGCACTTGATGTTCTTGAAGAGTCTACTCCTTCTAGTAACAGAGCCTTGTAAAGCTCACTTACAACTTTATTCCTCTCTCTACTTGATACCACTTTTCTCTATTAGAAGATCCTGTTCAATATTTTGCTTACTCTCCATTATTATCTCTCTCCCATTCTCTTAGAACACATTGACTGTATTCCAAATGCTAAAGTTGGGTGAAGGGATACCATATTTTCCTAATAGTTTAATTTATAGTTTGGGGTTTAAAATTTGTTTAATATATTTGTTTTCAAAATTGTAGTGTAAATTCATTCCTGTTTTTATGTTTTTTGTATAGTCTAGTCTTTTCTTAAGGAAGAGGAAGAGAAAAAAAATTACTGTAGCTTTCATTAAGTTTTGATCCAAATCTTGAACTTTCAGCAGAGGTGGTGCTATGATGACACTTATTTATGTTTTTTTTTCATTGGAAAAAAACATTTACTGAGATTTAATTTCTAGATTTCTCCATTCTGATTAGATATAAGCTAGAAAAGGGTACTATATCCATTTGTACTGCAAGTTCAGTTATGATGTAGCCCACTTTGTTAGTGGAATTAATTCTTAAATATAACCAACTATCTTTATATTTAACACACCATGTCCAATTCCACTCATATAAATGTGGCAAACTAAATCAAGATAGCTCAGTACAATGAATGGTTTTGATATTAAGCTGCAAGGATGAAAATTGTTTAGTTTTAAATGCCCTCTATCTTGCATGTAATCTTTTACGCTATTTGATAATTTTGCCGATGTAAAAGTCAACTTCTTCAAATTCTTCATGACATTTTGTTTCAGGTCTTTTCTACTGCTTGACATATCATCAATCAAACATCATTTAATCAGCTATCATATATTGCTCTCTTGACTCAGCTTCCCACTTTAGATTGCAACAGATGGAATTCTCGGCACAATCTTCCCAGTGTAACTGCTGATAAGCTAATTATGATGCTTATGTCAGATTCATTCAATCATACAGTATTCTATAAGATCAGGTTCTGAAAAGCAGCCAAGGAGGTGGGTAGTAGGTAAGAAGATGATTGCATGATCTTAAACTTGTTCCTTCATCTGATCTTAAACACTGGAATCATGTCAATCTTTATACTCCATACTGACTATGTTTTTGAAACGTTTGGGGAAAATGCCATCTCACAAGACTTGGTATTTTTTTTAAAAAAAATCTACTTATTATAATTATAGTTTATGTAACTGACAGCTGGTTTATATGTTTAATAATAAAAATATTTCTTTTCAAAACTCAACATAAAATGAACTACAAGGATAAAAAGCCCATATAATAGATGAATCCCGCAAATGAGGATGAAATATGCATTACTCGTGATTTTAAGATTAAAAAAATAAGAAATCTAATAGATGGTCATTTCTCAAATTGAATAATTAGAAGATAAATTATATGAAACAGATGTACAGTATAACTAAAAGGCTATTCAAAATTCACGAAAGCAAGACAAACAGACTGTATAAAGCCATAAAAAATGTTTTGCACCCATGAAACTCTGATTAAAATATCTGTGTGAGCTTTCTCTGAAAAGTAAACTGCTCACATTTGCTACAAGAGGCTTGGCATAGTTGTTAAATGTCATCAAAGCAGGGGCTTTGCTGCCTTCCCATTGCCTCCTGGATAGGCATTTTCACCAGCATCTGCATTGAACAAAAGGCTAAAAGAAATGATGCAGCTTAACTTTAAGCCTTCAAATTAGGCATCAAGACAGTGTTCTTTGCTCTTTTGCATTGGGACATTGCCTCAAAGTTGGTACATACCCACCTAGACATAATCATAGAAATAGACTAGACATAGACATAAACATAGTCCAGCCTACAGGAAGAATGTTGTAGTATATTTTAAGATAGGTTAATGAAATGAATATTGTTTGGGTATACAAGATAACCAATCTATACTTTTTCCTTAAAAAAAGGAAATAAATGATAATAGTACATTAAAATGGACAATATCATAATTCTCTGTAGCTTGTTCTTTTAATTACAAAGGAAGGATAAGCAGGGAAATCTCCAGCTAGTCTTTCAGATTATAAATGACTGAATCAAGATGTCAGTTATGTCTGACTTATTTCATTGTATATACGTTAGAATCATTTGACAGTGATGACAATGGACTTACCTAAGTAGTAGTTCCTCATCATTGGAAACATATTAAATACAAGTCTTTTGGTCTTTCAAATAAAATAACACTTGAATCAATTACATCTGCTTATGCTATATTTTCATACTACATATTTTATTTGTTTATATATTAGATTTCAAAGATGTGCAAGGCCTTCCTTACATGCTACATACTGATTTGAATACAATGACAAAGTTGCTGGAACAAGAGCATGGGTGGACTCTGGATCATGTCCTCTAAGAATAAAAATTCATTATTTTTAATTAAATGCATACTTTGTTACATATCTAGCACATACTGTTTTTTCAGTATTTTGGACTTTAACATTTTTTCCTCTGCCTTAGGCAGCAAGTCTTTATAACAAAAAACTGTGGGAGTTGTCAGCCAACCTTTGATCTAAAATATTTTTCTTCATATTCTTAGCTTGATTCAGAACACCTTGAAATATTCCAAATTTACTTTGAAGTCTGGCTGAACTCTCTTTGGTGTAGACCAGTGCTTCTCAACCTCAGAAACTTTTAGATGTGGGAATTCAAATCCCAGAATTCCCAGCATGGTGGCTGGGAAATACTAGCAGATGGAGCCCACATACCTAAAACTACACGTTGAGGTTGGAAACACTGATATAGACAATTACACCAAAATTAGCTGTACTTGGCATCCAACAGTATAGAACATTGATTGCTGAAAATTGCTAATTAATATTAGGCTACATTAATTATCATAATGCTTCTCTATTACATGGGACTACCATATCTGGTCTGAAAAAATCATGCACCTATTAACTGGTAGCTCTGACCAATAGTTCCAGCCAGCAGCCCAGTTTCACAAGCTTTAGCCATTTTATCAGTCCTATCAGCTTCTCCTTGTATATCACCATGGCCTTCATCTGGGAGCCATACTTCCTGAACCATTTGTACATTTTTAACTATATTATCTTAAGATCTATAATTCTTCCTGAGGAAATAGCATCTTCTTCAAACAAAATACTCTGGCCTCATTAATGTTAGTGATAAAGTTGCAAAGATTTGACATGAAGTTAATCAGAAATGTTAAAAACTCATTGTCACTGATAGAGGCATCATTGGATGAAGAATGCTGACATCACCACAAATGATTCACTGAGGCCTGATCTGTCAGAAAGCAAAAGGTTAAAATAAAATGTCCAACTTAACACAAGATAATTAGATAAGTGGCCAGCTTAAAGGAATATATACTAATTTCCAATAAAAAGCTGTATCTCATTATGCTAATCTTGCCAGATGAAACCCATATTGGAACATAGTCTAGCTATGAATTTGGAATGAATGAATTAAATGATATTTGGGGCAGTGCTCTACTACTCTGCATAATGTGATACTGTAAAAACAAAGTTTGGACAGCTGCATTTTTTTGAACAATTTTGCCTTAATAATATTTCTGATAAAGAATTAGTGCAAGACAATTTTAATTTTTATTTATTTATTTCATTTTAGGGAACTTCAAAGCAGTATGAAAGTTGAGATCATATACAACTACCTGAAAAAAAATCAGAAGGTATTAAGGGTCCAACAGAACTCCTGATTTCTTTTTTCTTCATTTTTAAATGTTCATGGAAAGACTGAAAATTATTTCTACCCAGATGTAAGTCTTATTATGTTCAATCAGTTTACATTTAGGGAGTGCCTTTCCTTGAGTACTGATCCTCAGGATCTGAAACTCTTTCATGTCCTTGAGTGAGGGAAAAATCCTGGAAGT